ATGTAGTGAGTTTAAGGCCAGCTGAAATTAAAAAAAAAAAAAAAAAAAAAAAAAAAACCCAAAACTAAATTTCAAAACAAATAAGGAAAATTGTTATCCTTAAAATAATTTTCCTAAAAAAAATTAATAATAAATTTCCTATTTATGATGTTAATGGTAGAAATTTTTAAAAATCAGAAACATTAAGAAATTAAAATTACACATTAATATGTAAAGAACACTCTTGTTATAATCTTGCGGTCTAGTCATTCTAATTTTGTACACACACATTTTGTTTCCCTATGAAATTAAAATTGCATATTTTTACTTTTATCTACCAAGCAAGTTTTGAACTCCATTTGATAGTGAAAGCTTTTATGTAACTTGAGCTCAAACTTTTTCTTCTAGAATACGAGTTTCCACTTGGAACAGACTGAACTACCTAAAGAATGGAGTGCTAAAGTCTGCCTTAAAATCTGCCATGGCTCATGACCCCATCTCCCCTGTGCTCTCCGATCCTCACCTGGACGCCGTGGACCAGCGGCTGCTGAGCGTCCTGGCCACCGTGAAGCAGTGCACTGACCAGTTTGGGATGGACACTGTGCTAGTGGAAGACAGGATGCCTCTCTCCCACTTGTAATTCTCAACACAAAATAAGTGAAACTTATTTTTACAAAGATAGAGAAACAGCACAATCAATTCCAAATGATATCAGATGTCTTCAGAAGTTGCCAGCAGCAAATTTTGGGAGTAGAGGTCAGGGTGGCCTTGGGTGTCTTTGGGGTTTTCTGTACTAGAAACTGAGGTACAGACACATTTCAGAGCACGAGGTGTTCCTGCAGCACCACCTTCTGACGTCCTCAGTAGTGGCCCGTGTTAGCACTGGGTTTCAGCACTGGTCCGTTTCATTCCCATGCCAAGGGATAAACAGAGGTGACACTTGGATAGATGAAGCTGCCACTGCTTTCAGACTGTTCTGAGGCGAACTTCCCAGTCCTTTCTCCACACTGGTGGATTTTGTGGAAACACTTTACAATTTCTTGTCTTTTTTTTTTTTTTTTAAAACCAGGACTACTCAAATTGGAAAGCTCACTGCTGCCACAGAGTGGCTGCAAATAAAACTTGGCATTCTGTTGGGCCAAAATAGAACGCTCTGTTGGAGGGGGATATGTTTGTGCGATAGAGCTGGTGGGAAGGCGAAAGCAGGAAGGTGCGCAGGATGTTGAGCAACTGTGTTGAGTGGTTTTGATCTAAGAGGAGGGACGCTCAGCAGAACCAGAATTGGGAGGTGACTGAATAGCAGAAAGCTGACTCCCCTGTGATTAGGTTCTGAGGTATCTAAAAAGCAGACGTGACTGCATGCACGTAAAATCTGCATTCTCACAATTATGTCCAAATTAACCAAAACATTATTTCTAGAAAAAATACTTTTACAACCCAAGCATGATTCTCTTATAGAGACTGATTTCCCCCTTTGCTTAAAGCAGTCACATCCTTTCTAAATTAACAAAGCAGACTGAAGTAATATCTTGAGTAAGAGTCAGGTTGCTTGTGATCTCTGCCATCCTCGTTTTTCTTCCAAAATGAATTTCTACTTGTTTCTAAGGTTTTCTTCACTGAAGATGCTGTTCGTAGGACATCAGTGACTCTTTCTGCCTTTTTTATAAGAAAAGGCAGTTATGCCACAGGCGACAGTATACACCTTGCTGGCCGGTAAACTGAGTTGATGATTTGAGCCGTGCAGAAGATTGGAATCAAAGATGTTAAGCCTTTTGAGCCTTGAAGTGAAGGGGATGGCCAGAAGGAGCCTGAAGATTTTGCTTTATGTCAAATCCTAAGTTTCTCACTTAGTCTCGTTTGGACTCTTCCATCTCCTCGTAACACTCCCAAGTTGGTGTTACTAAAACACAGGTTTAGTACCGTGTTCAGGCAAAATGATCCTGACACGTAAGCAGCTACAGTAAAGCACAGGGCTAGAGGGGACAGGCCTGTGCGCTCAGAGCCGTGTGTGTCCCTCCTGCATCTTGTCCAGATGCCATTTCAGCTTTGTACTCTGTTAGAGACCAATACTTACAAAATGTGGTTGAACAAATTTAATGCTAGTCACCCTTGACGACTCCCCTTTGAAACACAGCTTTCCAATTTATGCCCCAATTTTCTGGCTTTGAAAGATAACTGAGTAACTTGTAACTACTTTAAAATAGCATGAAATTAGGAAACCAGTTGTGGTGGCCACGACTGATTGTCAAAAGGGTCCTCGCCAGGCATGGTGGTGCACGCCTGTAATCCCAGCACTCGGAAGACTGAGGCCGGGGGGTCACTGTGAGTTCGAGGCTAACTTGGGCTCAAAGTGAGTTCTAGGCCAGCCTGAACTGCATAGTGAAACCGTGTCTCAAAAAGACCAAAAAAAAAAAGGGTCCTGAATTTGAGTACAAAACATTGAAATGTGTTAACAAAAGAAGACATCGATTGCAGTTTTAAGGCCACTTGCTATGTGTGTTCGGGAAAATTCACAGTTCAGCTTGAGAATACCTCAGTTTAGTGCTTCCCCAAAGCTTCTGGGAGCAGAAAGGACATCAGTCAGCTCTGTTCTTAGAAGTAGTCAGTGAACTAAATTATGGATTAGTGTTCTTTCAGATCCACGAACTGAGCAAGAACTGTTCTCAGACTGCGAACTCCCTACGGCTGAAGGCAGTAGATTTTGCTAAGGAAAAAGGATGAAGAGCTGTTGAAGAAATTTGCAAAAATGTATCATTTCATTCTTTTCCTTACTACTTTCAAGCTCAGGATCTTAAAAGGTATTCAGATTCACAGTAGTTAAAGTTAGACGTGACACAGAATATACATTTATGTTCTAAATTAGGGTTGGGTTAAATTAAAAAAAAGTGTGATGAATGTTGGAGAAAACCAACCATAAGTTTACATCTCTGAAATTCAAAAACACTTAAGTTCTGTGAAAAAAGAGATACTTTTTTAAAAAAAAAGTTTTGTAATGCTGTCCTGTTTTAGTTTTGTTTATGAGAATCTAGCTCACGCTGTTACAGCCAAGTCATTGGAGGGTTTTTGGTGCGCTCTAAGTTGAGAATGACAGCTGAACATCTAGGTAGATGGCGGTACATTTTAATACTATAAAAGCAGGAAAATCAGAGCTGATTGCCATTTGCTGTTCTCCTTCTACTTCTTCAAAATGTGTATTTTGAAATTTGAATGTAGAATATTGGGTATAGAGGTTTTGTTTAAAACTGTTCTTTAATGAGGCTACATCATGGTTATGGAGAAGGGTATAAATAATTTCCTGTGCTGAACAAATTAATACGATCTAATTTGCTCAGAGTATTGTTCAATACATCCTAAGGCATTTCTCCCTGTTTGCACTCAGGGTTAGTATGTCAAATTTAGGAAGAAAATGGAGAAATTCAGGTATATTTATTTGCATACTTTTTGGGGAAAGTTGAATCCTGTATATGGCAGTTTTTCAGTTTCACCTGGGCACCGCATTGTCTTCCAAAGAAATCTTTTCTTTAAAGCAAACAAACTTTGGACTCCTCATCCCTACACCACCCTCCTCAGCCTCCCTGCTCAGCCCTGCCTGTCTCCTCTTGGGGGTGGTAGAGCAGCCTCATCCGTGAGCTGTGCTGGATGGGTTCTCCTGTGAGCTCGGGCTTCAGGAAGCGTGGGTGAAGCTGTACCTACTGGTAAAGGTGGCTGTGTATTCCACTAAGGAAAATGTATTTATTTTGACACAAGGAAGCACTGACATCGCAGCGGTACTTGAGGCTGTTAAGAGTTCTCTCTTCAGTCTCTGAGTAGACTCACAGTGACATAAAGACAGCAGACGCCTCCTGAGTGGCTCTGGTGAGCCAGGTGGGCCTGAACCTGACTCTGAAACTTGCTCTGGAGGGGAGGCCTGCTCGGCTCCCTCTCATTCCCTAAGTCTGGGTGGTGAATAAAGAGTGGGTACCATACTGTCACAAAGTTTTTGGAACCAAAGTGTTCCTCAGACAAGATGGGGAATCTGGGAATAACTTAGTGGGGAGCTAATTTATTTGTTTAAAGGGAGGTATAGGAATCACTACCCTCCTGTTTGATTGCCAAGGATTTCCTCTCAGCTGTTGCACAAATAGAAGTTCTTGGTAAGACACCAAATAAGAGACACCCCAATTTCTAATGTGTTCTCTGGGTTCCAATTCTGAAAAAAAAAATAAAGATTTTAATAAATACTGAGATACCATCTTTGTCTCCCTTTCAGGATTTTTCCAGTGTTTTCTATTCCAATTTCTACCTGTTTTATAGGGAACAGAGGGAGGTTACATCTTTTGTTCCCACTTAAACTTCCACAGGGATTGCTTCACAGTATCTGAAAGATAAGACCTTTAAATTACCTCACCAGTCTTCAAAAGGTCAATACAAGGTTGTATCTGTACCAAAGCTTTCTATGGGATCATTCTTTGTTGCTTTTGTATATTTGGTAGTTAACTCCACTCATGCAGCTTCTTAGAGATAAAGAATTACCAATTTTTTTTATTTTTTAGTTTTTGGCACCAGGAGTTGAACTCGAGGCCTGGCACTTGCCAGGCAGGCGCTGTGCTGCAGAGGTACAACCCTGGCTTTTTTTTTTTTTGTCTTTTTGAGAAAGGGTCTTGCTATGCAGTTCCGGCTGGCCTTGAACTCACTTTGTAACCCAGGCTGGACTTGAACTCAAAGCACTCCTGCTCCAGCCTCCCGAGTGCTGGGATTACAGGCACGTGCCACCGCATCCCAACCAAAAATTACCAGTCGTAAAGAGCTTGTTGGCGTAGTGCTACACAGCATAGGCAGGAAGAGAATGCCAGTTGCTCTGATTAGAATTTTTAGGACACCCTGATTTTCAACTTGTGAAGTGGAAATCCAGCATCATAAGCTTCAGACAACTAGGCAGAGTTCTTAACATTTTTACTTGATTTGCAGAATATTTGCCAGTTTTTGTCGTTTGTACTTGAATACATGTGGGAGGATGAAATGTGTGTTCCTCCCTGAATCACCACATACAAATTCTTCTGAGAGCTGGACTTCAGGACTCGCTTGTAAGCATATCAGATTGTTAGTACTTGAACAGGTAGCTGGAGAAGGGGGATGAGGTTCTGTTCCTGGGTAGCTTTACCAGCTGTGTGTGCCTATGAAACTGGTTTTGGGCAGCCATCGCTTTGTCGATTAGGCATGATCGTAACCACTGGTTTTCCATTGGTGGGATTCTGTAAGAGAAAAGTGAACCTCAAGGAATAATAGGATTGAGTCACAATATTTGAGCTGCTTGGTCTTCCGTAGACATTTGGGTGTTGTGTGAGCTGTGCATGTTACCGAGGTGGCGGTGACTGTCCCTTCCCTCAGAGAGCCTGTAGCCCTGGCGGAGAACTGCTTGTGAGGTACCAGATGCTTCAGGAAGAATGTAAACGCCCCAGAGATAAGGCAACAATCATGGGGGTGGGGGAGGCAGCACCTACATCAAAGGAGGAGAGATCCATCCAGATGAGACCTGGGCTGTGTGCAGAACCCAGTCGCACACATGCAGAGGAGATGCAGAGCCTCTGGGCCTGTGCTGTTTCCTGTGCCCACGTTACCGGAAACGCCGCTTCAGGGCCTTCACGTGGTCTCCGTCAGGATCGTGGGTGTGTGCCCTACCTCTCCAGACGGTCTCTGCACCCTGATGCCTCCGCGCTGTGCAGCATGGATGCTAAACGAACTACAGGCAAATACACGAGCTGTGAAGTATTCATGCTTTCAGAGTGTATTTTTTACATTGCGGGGTGATTTAGAATAGAGACTGGATTTGGACCCAAAGCTTGTTTACAAGGCAGATGTTCTGCCTGTCTTCAGTGGGGCTGGGGAGGTGTCTTGCAAAGCCAGGTCTCATTCAGATGACCTCAATAAAGGAGCTGTGTGCCCATTTTCTCTTAGAAAGATCTTGTTAAAATGCATATTTTGGTTCAGTAGGTCTGCAGCCTGAAATCGTGCATTTCTGGTGAATTCATGCAATGCCAGTGCCCTGGGTCCTTGGACCACGCTGGAGTAAGCACAGTGCTGCTGGATGAGGAATATAGCTGCCTGTAGTTCCCACAACAGCCTCTAGATGTCTTGCATCATCCATGAGGCCTCGCTCCTAGAGTTTATAGGAGCCAGACCTCATTAACCAAGCCCTGTGAATGCAGTATAGGTGATTTACTGAAATATCCAAGAGATTACAGAAACCAGTGTTTCAGTTTGTTGTTTTCCTGGGGCTGACTCTTTGGTGGAAAAAGTTTATTTTTTAGGGGAAAAAGTTTTGAAATCGATTTGGTTCAACAACTTCCCAGTTACCAGTTTACTTACCATACAATTCTAAATCTAAACCAAAACATTTTTACAAGTAGAATTATATATATATATATCAGTCTTAAAACTTGGATTGTTTTTATAACCTATTACTAGTAATTTTGGAGGTGGTGCTGGGATTGAACCTGGGACCTCAAGCATGCCAAGCAGGTGCTCTACCACTGAGCTACACCTCACCCCATTACTGGTAAGTGCATCACCATAAATTCCCCAAAGAATCCAGTATTAACCCATCCAACCTTCCCCCAACAGGCTGTTTTATATATTATCTAAACATATATGGAAATGAAAGTTAACACGAATTGTTTATGATGCACTCAGGTCATTTAATCTTCACAAGGTGACTATCGTGGGTGGAGAAATCGAGGCATGGAGCAATTTGGTAATACCCAAAGTCCCACAAACCGAAAATGGCAGAGCCCATGCTGTTACTATGCTAGACTGCCACTTAGGTTCAAATAAAATTTGTTGAGTGGGTTAATGTTCTCAATTTTCAGATAAGCACATGGTGTGTTGGGTTTCTGTTGCTTTAATAGGAGATAATCATAAAGGAAATGGCGTCTTTTGTTCCACAGTTTTGGAGGTTTCAGTCATGATCAGATGGACCCATTACTTTGAGGCTTCTCATGGCAGGTGGGGAGGGGGTGGGATGCAGCTCTTCATGGTGGGTGTGTGGGACAGCAAAAACCGCTCACTTCACAGCAGAGAGCAAAAGAAAGAGGACGCGTCTCTATGATCTCTGCGGTTGTGACCCAAAGACCTCCCGTTAGGCCCCACCCCTTAAGCTTTCACTACCTCCATAGGCAGGAAGCTGGTGGTGACCAAGCCTCTAGCCTGAGCCTTGGGAGTGCAGGAGACACTGAAGATCCAAAGCGTAACACAGTGCGCTCGGAGTTACCTGTCCTCTGGCTCCCACAGGTTTGACTGCAACAATGTACTGGTGCCATAGCTGTGGCTCCTTGGAAAGTCTGGATTCACTTTTGGCACTCCAGTCTAAGACACCCAGTGTGTGCGTAACACTCTAGCTTAACTCTGCGTCCTAACAAATGTGCTTACCTGGTTTTGGAGACCGTTTGAATGAAAGGAGGCAGAAACTTGAGCTGCTGAGGATGAGCTGCCCTGCCTTTGAGTGTGATCGGCTGGGGTGAGCAGGGGAGGCAGTTTGCCTGTCATGCTCGTGAAGCATGGTGCCAGGATTCACCTGTCTTTCTGAGAGCCTGAGCTCAGAAGACAGGAATCAGCTCCCCGGATCTTCCTCCCCAGCAGTTCCCAACTAGGTCAAGATGACTCATAGGTCACTGATTTTGGTGACTGTAGGGTGCAGTCAAAATGCAGTAAGCTTTTCTGAAATTGACCTTCTTCAACCTTTGTTGCACGCACCATGTTAAGGAAGCCTGGGAAAGAGGCCCTCAAGTCCTTGCCAGCAGTGTCTACCGGGCTGCTTTGTCACAGGCGCTTGAAAGTTGCAAACCACGGTACATACGCTTCTTTCTTTTCGTGAGATACAATTATACCGACAGACCTTATGATTTCCCCGTGACTATGAGGATTTACAAAACCCAAACGTCTCCAGATCGGAAACCATCAGCTTCTTGCTTTTGGTGGAAGCCTGCTGGTTCTTGGCTGCTGTGTTTCACGTCTCTCTGCAGAGAGGGCAGCCCCCCTCAGTCCGACAGCCCGCACGCGCATTGTCCTCAGGGCTTCTTCTCCCCTCGGCTAACTCCTCTCCCAGCGTAATGCGCCTGACTGAAATGGTGTCCGCAGCTTCCTCTAACAGGTTGGCAGGAAGCTGGCCTGCAGGCCTAGGGCAGGAGGAGTACCAGTGGCCCGATTTGGTAAGCCGCGGATGGGCCTCCGAGGTGCTGCAAGTGATAACTGATGACGGAGTGATTGACAGTGGCGGTTTCAAGGCCTGATATCACCTTTACAACTTCAAGCGCGCCCCGGAATAGACTGCTTCCTGGAAGGCGGTGGGGTGGCGGGAGCCGGACATCTTCCTCGGAGGCTGGCCCAGCGCACGGCCTGGGTTTCTATTTCTCGCCCGGGTCGCTGGGGCGGCCAGTGGGCGGGCTGCGGCGAGGACGCACCCGAGTGGCTGGCCGGTCGCCATGGCGACACCAATCGCCGGCCCTCGCCCGCGGCGCCGACTCCCACCCCGCCCTCTCCCAGCCCAGGAACCCGAGCCGCGCGCTGGGGACGCGGGGTCCGGCCATGCCGCCCAGCTCGCGCCGCGCGCCGGGGTTCAGCCTCCTGCTCCTCCCGCTGCTCCTGCTGCTCCCGGGCGCGCCGGGGGTCCGCGCAGAGAGGCGGTGGGAGGGCGCCGACGAGGCGGGCTCGGCCTGGGGCTGGCTCGGCCTCCAGCGCCTGCGGGAGCGGCTGAGTGTGGCCGGTGCCCTCTCCAGGCGGTACTGGGCGCTCGTGGGCTGCCAGGTGTGGCCGGAAGACTGTGAGGAGGATGGCGAGGCTGCGGCGGGCCGCCTGGGTAAGAGCCGCCCCCGCCGCACGGAGCTGCGCCTCGGCGCCGGCCTCTGTTCCGCCCAGGCTGTGGCAGGGGCAGCCCCAGCGGATCGGGAAGTGCTGGCGCTGTCCCCAACCCACCCCCAACCCTGGGCCAGCCCCACTCCTTTTCGGTGTTTTTTTTTTGTTGTTGTTTTTTGGGTTTTGGTTTTTGGTTTTTTGGTTTTTCTCCGGTACTGGGAATGGAACTCAGGACCTTGCGCTTGCCAGGCAGGCGCTGTGCCGCTGAGCTAAATCCCCAGCCCCAAGCCCCACTCCTCCTCGCCTATCCCCGGCTCCTCCTGACCTGCTCACGCTTCCTGTGCGCTCCCAGCGCACGCCGCGTTGTCCTAGGTGCTGCTTTCCTTCACCTTCTTGATGGCCCGAAGAGAGTTCGCCTGGACAAGGCTGGTGCCAGCGCCCCACCCGCAGTTCCCTCTCTGTTGCTGATGGACGCAGTGCTTGAGTCCATGCGGTGGGCAGCGCCTGGGCTGGGAGTCTGGACCTGAGTGCTGGTTTAGGTGCTGACACTGACAAGTTGAGCTGTCACGTCCCTAGTGAACTAACAGAATCTCGGCTGTGCCTTATAGCTCCTCTTTTTCCAGGCCAGACCCTTATCCAGTTGGGCCGGAGGTCCCTGGATACCCTGACCACGTGGTACTGCAGCTTCCAGGACTGCTGCAATGGTGGCGACTGCAGGATCTCCAACGACTTTTCAGGTTGGACCTGGCACATGTCTAGGGCTGGAGATCGTGGGGAGGGGAGGCGACTGACTGCGGGGAAATGGTGGGGTAGGGTACCAGCGATGCTTTGGCATCTTGCCCGGCCCCCCACCACGTGGGAATTGCCACAGTAAGACTGCAGTCAGGGATGCTGTTTGAGGATCTTTGGGAAAACCACTAGGTTTTCCAGAAACTCACCCTCTAACAGTAGGAACAAGGTAACACCATGTGCCATTAAAGGTGTCATTGAATTCTCCCACCTCTACCCCTAAGCCCTCCATCTTGATTCTTGAAGGAGCACCATGATACTTGAACCACAGCTGAGAAGTCCCCTCTTATATGTAGTTTGATGGCTCGGAGCTTGTTGAAATAAATGGGAATTCCTTGAAGATGTCACTCGTAGATGGCACTCCTGAGCTAAGACAGCTGGGAGGAGGGAACACTGCCAGGTGTATAGGTACTGAAGTTTTTCCTCTGCTCATTTTCGACCCCTCTCCCTGTCCTCCTGCCCTCCCTGGGAGTGGGTCCAAGGAAAAAAAGAAGAATGATTAATATTGCCGAGTGTGGTGGTACATGACTATAATCCCAGCACTCTTTGAGGCTGAGACAGCAAGCTTGCAAATTTAAGACCAGTCTGGGCAACTCAACAATTTAGCAAGAACTCTGTCTCAAAATTTTAAAAAAGTAGGGCTGGGATGTACAAAGGTCCTGGGTTCAGTCCCTAGTACTACCCCTCAAAAAGTTAATATCTACTGATAATACATCTTCTATGTACCAGGCACTGTGCTAAGAGTTTCTCAGGGATTAACTCATAATCCAGCATATCCTATAACCCTTCAGAAGAGTCAGGCCCATAGCACTTTTTCTTTCTGAACAGAATCAGAAAACTTTCAGACAGTGGTTAGGAGTGTCAGTGGGGAAACTGACTAAAAATGATGGGATATGATTAATCTTTAGCCAACCAAGGTCTGGAAAATGCAACACAGGTTGCCTGATTTATCTTGGATCAGTAGGGATGCCTCTCATCCTGAGAGGAGTGGATTATTCCTGATTAATAAACTAGTTGATATTCACCACCACAAATTGCCCCTCACTGTAGTGTGAATTCTTCCCCTTCAAGGCCAACAGTTTATGAATCACTGCTGACCAGCCTCCCTCCTCTGTGCATTTAAATTAGGTCAGGTGGCTTTATTTGCATATTGTAGCTAATTTGTATTTTAGCTCTCAGAGAGCCTCAATTACAGAACCGAGTCTGACAAAAGACCAGTAGGTTAGTCCTTTGTGAATGTTCCCTGTTTTCCCCAGCAGTTTGTTCCCCTTGAGTCCCCTAATCCCAGTTCTTTCATCTTCATAAACGAGGCCCACCCTCAATTTTAAGTCCCTTAATCAGAAGAAGAAGCAATAACTGTGTCTACCACAGGACCCGCTATCAGGCTGCATACAGGTCAGGAGGTCTGAATTTGGATTTCTGCCAACTTGGGATGAGACATTGGGTGGGCACCTAGCAAGTTACCCGCCCCCCATCTGCAACATCCCCATCGTCCCCGAGGGCCGGGACACCCAGCTTGTTCTGGCGCTGCGGGCATCGGGAATCCCTGTGTGAGCCCCTCGCTCGCCTCTTACAAGCTGAGCTGCCAGACTTTGGGCAGTCCTTTCCAAGTGTTTCCTCTGCTTTAAATGCAAATCATCTGTGCTCTGTAGAGTTACTGTGATGATTAAATATGAAACTGTTCCAGGCAGCTGAGTTAGAAATGTTATAGGCAGTCAGACAGATAAGATAGGTATTTGCTGTGCGCCAGACCTCAAGACAAAAGATGAAGCAGATGCACCCACATACCTCCTTAGGGATGGATGTCAGGGACTGATACTCTAATCAGCCAGCCCCTTACAGGAAAAGCCCCTGTTCTGTATTCATACCTGCTTGCTGCGGGACTCACTTCCCCATTTGACCCTGATTTAATCAATTTTACCTGAACAATTCTTATTGGCTGACCATAGTTTTGTCCATTTTCTTTCTATCTTGGACCCACCTCACCTCGTGGTTTTGCTCTATAAAATCCCTAGAAAAGACAAGAGTCCCGAGCAACCCACTCAGGCCCCTCTCTGTCCCTCTTTTTTTCTGGTACCGTGAATTGAACCCTCGACCTTGAGCTTGCCAGGCAGGCACTGTGCCGCTGAGCTAAATCCCCAGCCCCTGGGACAGAAGCTTTCTTTCCCTCAGTAAATATATTTTGCCCTTAACCTCCATTGTTCCTAAAATTCGTTCTTCGATTTTAGAGAACACGAACTTGTCCCAGATGTCATTCGGTTTTTACTTTCCTATATCAAAACCACACAGTCCTGAGTACGGGGAAACAGCAGCAAGTGCTCACTTTCCCTTCTCTGGTAGTTCTGAGGCAGTGTGGGACCCTTGCAGTGTTTCACAGGGGTCTTGACTTGCCGCGGTCCCGGAATCCGCCCACCGGGCTGGCTCGAAGTGCCCCGACCGGTTGATCCTGAGCTCTCATGCCAGCTGGCAGCACACCCTCCCTGCTTCCGAATCCTGTAACCTCACAGCTGAGAGGTAGCGAGGCCCAGCACAGGACTCGGCCCACAGCGGCTGCTCTGTAGTGGGTTTGCTGGATTAAAATAGAAGCGAGAAACGGGCTTTTCCATGAAGCATTTAAGGAGATCTGAAACTGAGGACGGGAGGCCTCAGAGTGGGGGTGGGTCCTTCCTCCTCCCTCACTGGTGCCACCCGTGGTGGACCGTCTTCAGAGGGTGCTTCCGTTCTTGCTCTGAGCTCAATCTTGATGTCTCAGATTCTCCAGAAAATAGCTCTTGAATCTCTTCTGCTGTGAGGGCTGCCCTCTGGCCTCTCCTGAGGACAAACAGGATGAGTAGCCGACCCCACCGGCCTAGTGGGGAACGTGTGGGTGCGAGCCTCCCGCTATGCCTCTCTCTGCCCCTAGGCTTGGATTCAGACCTGAGCGTGCGACTGCACGGCCAGCATCTGGCCCGAGAGCTGGTCTTAAGAACAGTGAGAGGCTACTTGGAGATGCCCCAGCCACACAAGGCCCTGGCACTCTCATTCCATGGCTGGTCTGGCACGGGCAAGAACTTCGTGGCGCGGATGGTGGCGGAGAACCTGTATCGGGACGGGCTGAAGAGTGACTGTGTCAAGATGTTCATTGCCACATTGCATTTCCCACACGCGCAGTACGTGGACGAGTACAAGGTGAGGCCAAGCGGGCCGGGCGGGGCCTCTGTGCTGAGGGACGGACAGCCTGACACCCGCCCTGCCTTACAAGAGGGTGAGGTCAGGAAAAGCCTCAGGGAGGGGCCAGGAGGCGGTACGGCTGACACCCGTGCATGCACACCACACACACACACACACACACACACACACACACACACACACACGGGAGGCCAGGTCCAGCTCTACAGGAAGTCGGTGTTCATTTTTTCATTACAGAAGTAGCGAAACATCACAGGAAATGTGAGAGAGAAAAGCAGAAACTTTACCATAATGTCCCCCTGTAGATGCAACCTCGTTAGCAAGCAGTAGTCAGCATTCAGGTGAACTTCCCTCAGTGTCAGACTTCCAGTGGTGTTTCATACCATGGTCATTTTATGGACAGGAAGTTGCCAGTGTGTGCGTGTGTG